CAGAGCCCGATGCGGGGCTCGAACCCACGAACCGCGAGATCATGACCTAAGCGAAAGTCGGATGCTTAACCGACTAAGCCACCCCTGAAATGAAATTATTTTTGTGATGTTTTTAAAGTTGGTAACTGATGTCAGGAGGAAATGTTATGGATTTGCTTTCCAAACAGAAAGATCCTGACAAAACAAATATTCTAATTGGCTGGACCCCCACTGGCTTTTTCATATTGGTTTGGAACCTATAGTTTCGATAACATAGGTGAGTAAAATTCCTCATCCATTTTCTGGTCTCTAGGTCATACTTGACCTTAGTTTTATATTAAGTACTCCAAAATGCTTAAAAGCAGAAAATACAGAATTTCCTAAAAATCAGGCTCAAAGAGTGAGAACGAATGGTAACGGAGGAGTGGCACTGAGGTGGACATTTTCATGTTTGCTTGCATATGGCCAAGTGTGCATTCCAGGTGTAGGAGTCACATGCATGTGTATGCTGTATATATTGTCCAAAACTCCACTTTTGTATATTTCCAAAGTGTTTTTTATAGATAGTTCATTTGAGCTTCTAAATCGGTGTTTTCAAGTAGGTTTTACATAATCCAGGGGTATGGGAACAAAATATTAAAACTTGGATAGTTAGGGGGCGCCTGGGTGGCTTAGTTGGTTAAGCGTCCGACTTTCGCTTAGGTCATGATCTCGCGGTTCGTGGGTTCGAGCCCCGTGTCGGGCTCTGTGCTGGCTGCCAGCTCAGAGCCTGGAGCCTGTTTCAGTCTGTGACACCCTCTCTCTCTGACCCTCCCCTGCTCGCACTCTTTCTCTCTCTCCTATAAAAACAAAAACAAAAACTTGGATAGTTAGGGCGCCTGGGGGACTCAGACGGTTGAGGGTCTGATTCTTGATTTTGGCTCAGGTCATGATTCCAGGATTGTGGGATTGAGCCCCGTGTTGGGCTCCATGCTGAGTGTGGAGCTTGCTTGGGATTCTCTCTGTCTTTCTCTCCACCTGCCCCTCTCCCCTGCTCGAACACACACACTCTCTCTAAAAACAAAACAAAAAAACCCTTTGATATTTAATTATTATCCCATGTTAATATTGCTTTGCCAGGCAGTACGTTTAATTGTAAATGTACTCCTATTAGGAGTATGAGCACAAACTTTTTTTTATTAGTAACTGCTGTAAGATCAAGAAGATGTGGCAATTCTTTGTATATAGTCTTAGTGTTTTTCCATGTGTGGCTGGAAAATTACCTGCACCAACTATACATATGCCAGGTCCCCACCCAAGACCTACTGAGTTCAAATCTCTGGTAGTAAGACTCAGAAATCTGCTGTTTGGTAACAAGCACACCGAAATTTGAGAACGTCTGTTCTCAACATGGGAGGTAGGAATTATTCCCATTTTACAGACGGGGAAACCGAGGCTCAGGAAAGTCAAGAAATTTAAACCCAATGTCATACAGTGAGCAAGAGGCACAGGCTGATCCCACCCCCATGTATTAGGATTACAGAGGTGCACGTGTGTGACTGGTTGGCACGGGCCACGTGATCATAACCTCCGAGACCTGGAGGTCATGATGCACGGCTGAAGGTGTGAATGGAAGAGCCAACCCCCATGGGCATTCTCCACCACCAGAAGCCAAGAGAAAAGTGGCATCTGAGTCTTCCTTTCTCCCTCAGGATTTTAAAGATTAGGTTCAAAATGAGTGACAAATGTGGTCAGCCAAGTTTCCCATTGCTTCTTCCCAAATATTGGTTTTCTTGAAGCTTTTGTCTCAGTTTGGGATTAAGGTCCGCAGAGCAACATGGCCTCATTCTAGAGACAGAACCTTCTCTGGCTGTTCAAATTCTACTCTCTGACTGCCTTTCCACACACCACTGTAAGGGAGCAGGACAGTCTGAGATTGCAAAGCATGAATAAATGTTAGTTCTCTTCTCTCAAATTGATACGGACTTGTTTTTCCGCGACCCTGGATTTATACCTTTATGACACCTGTCGCCATCTCCTAATTAGCATCCAGAGTCTCAGCTGTGTGAGGTCTCCTCAACTATACCGTGAGGAGATTTTATGGGTTCACCCCACCAATAATGTATTGAGTCCTCACCTTATGCCACACGCTGTCCTAGATCGAGGCAAAAGGCATTTGCTCGTTATAGTTGCTTTAGTTGAAAAAAAAATTGCTCGTAGTCAACTCCAGGCAACTGATTTAATGTGGCAGGTAAGAATCATTTGGAATGGGCATATTTAATAGGTGTGCTCAAGCGTTTCTTCAAGTGGCGGAGAGCGCTTCCAAGGTCAGACTGTTTACAGATGTATACTATAACCTCGTGTGTTGGGGAAACTGACAAATTTAGTATACAAATGTGCAATGTATTCTTCCCACACATTCACAGGGAAAGCATTACCTGTCAGCCTGTCTCTGTTTAATTGTCACTAGTTCCCAAAGAGAGGATTTGAAAATAACTGAGGTTTACTCTGGGGTTAAAAATACATAAACAAAAAGCAAGAATTTCCACATTTTAATCTGAAAGGCTTGGTTCCGTGACCGCACAGACGAAACTAAGGGAGTCAGACCTTTGCTCACAAACTTGGATTCTGTGCCTCCTTTATTCTTCCGAGGGCCTCATGCTTGCAGATGCTGATGGAAAGCTTAGGAAGAGACAGTCTGATCCTTTGGGTCAGAGGCAGAGTGAAGCAGAAAGGAGAAATGGTGTCTGGCCAGCAATTACTGAGCGTGGACAAATGGGCGTGCATTAAGCAACCTCAAATTCTCTGCATTCCTTTGTAGATTGGGTTTGACAGTTATAAGAATTTGCTACTATCTGCCCTGGAAACCAGAGAAAAAAACGTCTCCTGTCATATTTATATGACAGCTCAACTTCTGCCAGTAAAGAACATGTGTGTGTATATATATACACATACATGTAATATAGTAATAATCTTTTATCACAATCACGATCAAGATTTAACATGGTAAATACCCACACGATGCAATTTGCTAAGATCATGGAAGACCAGGATGTCCACTCCTCATCACAGCCAGTGTGTGACACTCAGAGTGTATTGGCGCTTTCAAGGCGTCCAGAGTATTTGAAAAATTCACTATTGGCGATCATCACCTTTCTGGTGGGGGCTGCGCCAGGCTCCAGGAAGAAGACACACTACACAGAGTGGGACACTTAGTCAGTTGCTAGACAACCTGGTGGATTAAAGCTACACAGTCTGGAATTTCTTTTCATTCTGAAGATTCTGACCTTCCTCTGACATCCTTTGGTAGAGCCTGGATATGGGGTTAGACAAAAGGAGCCATGAGAGCTTTAAGATAAAAACAAAAACAAAAACAAACAAACTTAAACATCTTGGTTATCTGCTAACTTTTTTGAAGCAGTTATTCACACAAAAAAATACCTTTAAAACTTAGGAGAATTGCTAATCATGGTGAATATCTGCAGCAGTGTCAGAATGTAAAATCATGTACGTGTGCCAAGTGCAGAAGTGTGTTTCTGTGCAAGGAACAGAGACCTGTCTGCACTAATGCCTCACCTCAGCCCCTTTCTGTCTGAATTTCCTTCTTTCATCCCTCTGTTTTAGAGATAGCAGTGGGAAGTGCCGATGCTCGGGACTGTTGTGTCCTCCTTCCACTGAACCAAAGGTTTAATCCCCTTCAGTGTTATACTAAAGGTAAAATATACTTTCGACTTCTAGCAAACTGGCTTTATTCTGAGCTTTTGTGTTTTGAAGACCTGGTGTGGCAGAGACTGTAAGCTGACCACCTCAACACTCAAGGTCTGTGTGGAGCCCAACGTGGGGCTTGAACTCACGACCCTGAGATCAAGACCTGAGCTGAGCTCGAGAGTCAGACTCTTAAATGAGCCACCCCGGCGCCCCTCCCTTTATTCTTTTTTCTGCATGGAAGGCAAATGTAATGATTGGACTGCACAATGCTCTTGAGAAGGAAGCCAAGATGACAGGAGCACTGGTCACTGATAGCATGGATCACTCTAGCACCCTGGACTGCTACTTCTGGACTCCTTTTATGTAAGAGGTAAAATATAGCTCTGTTCTATAAGCCGTTTATCACAAGCTGCTGAATCTAATCCCAGCAGATACAGTTGGGAAACTGAAGGAATCACTCTCACATATGAAGCATGGGGTATACTAAATACGATAGCAAATACACATACAATGCACTTAACGATGACAACCGTTTACATTTTAGGGGCTCTGTGTGACCTTGTACGTAAATATGGCATGTCCCCAAACAAACCCAGGCTAATGTATGCCTGCCTGGTAAGCATCTGTAAGGGGCCATTCGTAAAGATGCTGGGAAGCTCAGAAATCATGTTTAATGTTAAATAATTACCAAAACGTAGTGATGACATTATAGATACTTGACCGTATTAGAGTTTTCAGTTGTAAGGACATAAAGCCCTTTCTAAGGTTTTGTTTTTTAACTGATAAGACATCATTTTATTGAGCACGTCTTCTGTGCCAGGCACCGAGATACTTGCATCATCTCATTTAACCTTTACAAACACATACTATAATTACTCTGATTTAACAGATGGGAAAATAGAAGGGATAAATTACTTGCCGAAGGTCACATGGCAAAACTGGAAATCAGACGAAGGTCAGTCAGATTCCAGTGCCTGGGTTATGCAATGCCATACTAAAGCATCTTCCCTGTTCATGCTTCTCTGCATAGACTTGACCGTGCTTTAGATTCCCCACGGGCCATGTCAGAACGGCAGTTCCTGTTTTTATAAATTAGAAGGCTGAAATGCAGAGAGAGCAGTTGTTTGTCCTAAGGTAAGATCGGCACGTGTAGTCATGCCGTCACGAGTTTCAACAGCAGGGACAGCCAGCCAAAGCCATTCTCACCAAACTGACTTGCTCCCCTCCTCACCCATTACCTTAGCAGTGCAGCCCTTTAAACAGAAACATCAAGGCCTACTGACACTCCAGTCTGGGAAATTACAACCGCCTTTGAGTGATGACAGACAGACTCATGTGTTGTTATGTTTTATTCGGAATCAGACATTAAAGTGGCATAAAACACTCCATCTGATCTCTTTGCTGTTCCCAATCTCACGAATTTACAAGTCAAATAGGTCACAAGCAGTTTTAAGAATGATTTTGACCGGCCTCCCCGATCCCAAAGGAGATTAAAAAGTAATAATGTAAAAAAAAGTTAAGGTCAAGGTGTCTTAATATCACAGCTAATAACCAACCATTTGTTCCCTGGTGGCTTCTGCCTCATCCTGAAAGCTGCCCGCTTAACTGGATGTCAAACAAGTGGTTAGTTATTAGTTCCCTGGATGATTGTCCCTGAAGGTAAGCCATGCTCTGGGGACACACTAGGCACTTTCAGTGGGGGTAGTTACCTTTTCCAGGTTGAGTACAACGTTTGGCTCTCAGAAGCAAGCCAACAGAATGTTCTGTGATTCGGCACCCTTGCGATTTGGCGCTGGGATTTCAGAGCATTCTCAAGAACATCTGTCCCAGATGTTCGGGGGGGGGGAGGGCGATTTGTGGGTTGCCGAGCAGGCTGTTTACTTTCTGCATGTGCACCGGTGGGCACCGGCGCACTGTCCCCTCTGGTTTTTATCCTGGCGTCCTGAGATAGCCCGTCTACACAGCGGGGCTTTCAATACTTTGCAACAAGCGGCCTGGTGCAGGCACCGCCAGTCACCAGAACCGAGGCTGAGGCGAACGTTAAGGCTGCAGGACGCCAGCTCGGCCCCAGGGGCGCACGCACCCGCGTGCCTGGCGCGACACCAGCTCGGGGCCCTACTCGGCCTCGTCCACGTCTTCTCCTGCGGTGGCCGCTTCTAGGGCCGCAAGGGCTTCGGCCACCGCCGCATCCTCGTCCACCGCGTCCTCCCGCCCAGTTCTCGAATCGGCCCCCGGCTCGGCCTCAGCGGCGTCCTCGTCTCTGAAGTAGACACTCAGGGCTTCTGCCGCCTCGGCCGTATTTAAGGAGTCCCAGCTTCTCTTCAAGGGGGAGGGCGTATTCCAGCCGCGCCCCCCCACCCTGGGGGGGATGCCCGCCGGGGGTTCCTCCTCCCGGGGGCTCCTGGAGACACCATCCCCGTCTTCCCCGTCAGCGGTGTCTCCTGCTGGGCCCCGCGGGGGAGGGTAATCCGGGGCCGGCATCTGGAAGTCACGGTCGTGTACTCCCAAGGCAGGACCTTCTGCCCTGAAAGCAGGACCGGGGGCCCCACTTTGGACGACGTGGGTCTCCCGCGGGGCCGGCAGCAGCAGCACGCTGTCCTGTCTTCCGGGGCCCCCGCCTTCCGGGAAGGGTGGGGTCGGGGGGGCGCTGTTCGTGGTACTGACGCAGGAGCCCCTGTCCCCCTGGTGGGGCCCACGGTCCCCAGCGGGCTGCGTGGCGGCGGCGGCGGCGGGGCCGATGCCGTTGACGGCACTGCCAGCCTTGTCTGCACAGTGTCCCTCCACTGTGTCCCCCGGAGGGGGCGCTCCCAGGGGATGCCCGCGGGGGGGCTCCTGCCCGCCGCCAGCCCCGCCCCAGCTGGCTGTCCCCTTCAGGCCCCCGCTCAGCAGCTCACTGTGATGCCCCAGGGCTTGGCTGCCCTGTTTGCCTTTCCACTTGCCAGCGTCACCTTCATCCACCTTGCAACTGTTCACCTCGTTGACGTAGCCAGGGGAGGGCACTTGGACTGGATCAAAGAGATAGCTGGGGGGTGACAGGAGCGAAGGTCAGTCGGTTAAGTTCATTCGGGAAGCCCTTTCTGAATAACTTCCATTATTAACACTTTCTGCTTCTACTTTCTGCTTCTTTCTACCATTCCTGTTAATTTCTGTGATAATTCCGTGAAGCCTCTGTGTATGTCTAAACCAAATAGATACAGTTGGTACGAACATGTCTTACCCACTGGGTAATAGATCTCAAGAAGAGATCTAAGAGAGCACAGAACACAGGGCAGTGGTTCATGGAATTAAAAACATCCAAAAAGTAACTAAAACAAATGTCCAGTAACAGGAATAAGTGGTTAAGCACCGACGGCACATTCTCTCCACAGAATATTATCCAGTCATTAACACAATAAATAAATATGAAGTCTGGACCAGCATGAAAGATACTTACAACAAACATTTATTATAATAAATGTTTTCTGAAAACCCCCTACCATCACACTGTGAGTACAATGGAGTAAAACTTATACGCACACACATATGAATAAATGGATGTGGGTATATAGTTATAGATGGAGAACTAGAATAAAGTGCTATCTGTTAAAGGGAGCAAATTAGTTAATTTCTTCCCCTTTATTTTGTGTAGAGTGCTAGTCACGTTATCCAAATTTGTCTGAAATAGAATCTGGGCAGGATTAAAAACCGTATGTGACTGGGGTGATTTATTTCCAGTGATGCCAGGTCAGGCATCACCTCTGAAACTCCAGCTTGCCTTTGCACTGATGTTCTCTGCAGAACTGCAAGGTTGACCTGAACCAAATTTCATCTCAGAGCATTGTGGCGTTCCCTACCTGCTCTGAACAGTGAGCAAAAAAAAAAAAAAAATATTTTTTAAAAAATCTAGGTCACAAGATCTCTGAAATGATACCCAGGCAGCTCCAAACGCATAATTTCTTGGCAATGCTGGTCATGCTCCAAGCCAGGTAAACACAGTGAACCCGTGCACGGCCTGTAGGGGGCTCCACGGAAGTCACAAAGTCCTCCATTCAGGGTATTTTTCCAACCTTACCTTTGTATCATTTTACAGCACTTGCACCCCATCTGGATGAGTTTTAGTTACCATCTGGAAAAGAAAGTTAGAAAGAGAGACCATAGTGAATGGCATCTGAATAGGAACTAAGTTTGCTCTCTCCTTCCGCGATGCTCCACGTTAGGAGAGTCAGGATTTCTGGCAAAAGCAGAACACGTGAGGAGGGGAGGCCATGGTTACTGGGAACACCTTCACGTTTCTGAAATCACCGATTCAGAGTTCTCAAACACTGACTGATGCCTGTCTCTGCGCCAGGCCCAATCCCCAGGAGTTACCCGTGTCTCCATTCGGCGAAGGAGGAAACACAGGCTAAAGAGTGCTAGGGAGAGAAGGGAGGGATTGAAAAGGATCCATGCCATCTTCTATGTCAATCAATGGCCTCCTGCTGGGGACTAGAGCCTAACCAGGGTGTAGACATTGCCGAGAGAGAGGGGTGTAAGAGAGGGGTGTAAGAGAGAAGAGAGGATTCCTTACCAGGGGATTAGCTACTCAAGTATGAAAAGATATCTGGGTTGGGGCGCCTGGCTGGCTCATTCAGTTAAGCATCTGATTTTGGCTCAGGTCGTCATCTCATGGTCTGTGAGTTCAAGCCCCACATTAGGCTCTGTGCCGACAGCTCAGAGCCTGTAGTCTGCTTCGGATTCTGTGTCTTCCTTTCTTTCTCTGCCCCTTCCCTGTTCACACTCTGTCTCTCTCTCAAAAATAAATAATTATTAAAAAAAAACATTAAAAAAAAAAGGGCATCTGAGTAAGGTGGCTGACTTACGTGTTCCACAACACAGACCCGAGGAGGGGACAGCTGTGGTCATCATTCGAAGTTTTATGGGACTACACGGCATCTGCTGCGCCCCTCCCACGACTGGCCAACCCTGGCAATGGTCCAGGGGCTCCACTCTCTTGCAGCTCAAGGACGTGCCCCTTGGGGCCTCATGGCAGCAGACGGGTTCAGCTGCTTTGACCTCCCACCTGTCCCTTCCCAAGTTTCGTGTTCCCTGATGCGTGTTCTCTGACTGAAATCTTCCCTTCGTGTGGACTCACCAGGTTATTCTGATCTCTCTTCTGAAGATCCTAAAAACTGGTGTAGAAGAATCTCTAAATCATTTCCCATTTCCAATAGCTACAACCTTTAAAGAGACAGACCAGTAAGAGAATCTACAGCCCCAGTCCCTCCATCTCTGTAAGATGCACGCATGAGGAAGAGGGAGAGATCATTTACTGTTGGCAGTACCGCTGCCTCCCTGGCTTCTCTTCTCTCTTCTTTCAATCGTGATTGAATTCCCAGGATGGGGGTGCCTGGGGGGCTCAGTCGGTTGAGCATCCGGCTTCGGCTCGGGTCATGATCTCACAGTTCGTGGGTTCAAGCCCCGTGTCGGGCTCTGTGCTGACAGCTCAGAGCCTGGAGTCTGCTTCAGATTCTGTGTCTCCCTCTCTCTCTGCCACACCCTACTTGTGCTCTGTCTCAAAAATAAACATTAAAGGGGTGCCTGAGTGGCTTAGTCAGTTAAGCGTCCGACTTCGGCTCGGGTCATGATCTCACAGTTCGTGGGTTCAAGCCCCGTGTCGGGCTCTGTGCTGACAGCTAGCTCAGAGCCTGGAGCCTGTTTCAGATTCTGTGTCTCCCTCTCTCTCTCTGACCCTCCCCTGCTCATGCTGTCTCTCTCAGAAATAAATAAAAACATTAAAAAAAAAAAAGAATTCCCAGGATGCCTTTACCCACACAGAAAATGACCGATGCTCTTTAAGAGGTTATAGACTGGCAGGTTATGGGTTTACACTTATAATAAAATCCACAAATAACCTGTTATAGGTAGCGGAAAAATGGCCTCTGAAAAATAACCCCAACCTAATCTCTGGAATTTGTATGTGAACAACAACAAAAAAGTCTTTGCAGAGTGATTACAGATTCAAGATGGGGAGATTTACTTGGATTCTATGGTTCAGAGCCCAGCTCAGCTTCTTACCAGCTGTAGGACTTTGGACCTCAGCTATTTCATCTGTAAATGGGGATAATGATATGTCTCCCATATGGCATTGTTGGAGATTATAGAAGTTAATATTCACAATAAGCATATACTTATTACTCGTCCCTGGTTGGATATAGCATGTTAAAAAATTTTTTTCTTTCTTTCCTTTCCTTCTTCCCTTTCCCTTCCCTTCCCTTCCCTTCCCCTTCTTCTTCCCTCCCTCTCTCTCTTTTCTCCCTTCCTTCCTTCTTTCTTTCATTCTTTCATATATGACAGGGAAGAGGCAGAGAGAGAAGGAGAGAGAGAATCCCAAGCAGGCTCTGAGCACCAACCAATGAACCATGAAATCATGACCTGAGCCAAAATCGAGAGCCGGACGCTTAACTAATTGAGCCACCCAGGTGCCCCAATGTGGAAAAAAAAAAAAAAAAAAAAAAAAGATGGTGGCCTTGCACCTAAGCAAGATGTAATGTAGTTGCCACAATATACATGCAGGAAAAAAGCATTAAGAGTACCAAGTAATACTTGTTTTCTGGATTAAGGGCCAAATGGTCTATTTCTGTGAACTGTGGCACCAATTGAAAGTCAAGTGCCACAAAACTCAAGCGCCACAATGGCTCCTCAGAGGGGGCAGTCATTGGGAGCTCAGCCAGCAGTTAGTGTGCACAGCCATTCACTTCTTCAAAGCACTCTCCGCTAAGTGATCCCATGTCCAGAGCCCCGAGTTTCATTCCCAGCCTCTGCTCCCACTTACGCCTATTTTCTGCTAGTAATTCATAAGTCAGCTGAACACGTAGGCCAAAGAAATAAGTGCTACGCCCACGTCCTCCCCTCCATCAGCCCCCCCTTCTCCAACTTCTCCCCCCTCCCCAATCCTGCTCTAAACCCCTGCTCCTCTGCATGCTTGCAGTACCTCTATTTACCTTGGACTCTGTTTAAAAACACAATCAGTCAGGAGGATAGGAGGCAAAAAAAAAAAAAAAAAAGTCATAGAAAAGTGAAAACCTGGCTTTGAAATTTTTGAGAAGGCAGACTGTGGGTCATCATAATGTAATTGAAGCCATGGTGAAATATTAATCAGTGTAAAATATCTGGTGGGTTGATTTTAGGATGGCAAGTTCAAGAGGTGTAGCAGGGAAGGGTTTCAGGAAGGAGGGAAGGAAGAAGGAAGAGGGGAAGAAAGAAGGAAAGGACGAAGGAAGGAAAGGAAGAAGGAAGGAGGGGAGGAAGAAAGAGGGAAGGGAAGGAGAGAGAGAGAAGAAGGAAGGCAGTGAGGGGAGGGAGGGAGGAAGCTAGGAGGTGTCAGGCCTTGAGTCACACCTTGTGTTCCCAGCATCCCAGAGGCTGACCCGACCTGTGGAACCCTGGCCGGGCCGCGGTCCCCACCCTCTGCTGCTATGGCCAGGGCCATGTGAACAACACGCTCCAAAATGCAATGACCGCTGAGCTTTCCCAGGCCAACTGGAGATCACCACTTCCCCGTTTCTTACAGAATTTGTAAGTCGTCTGTGGCTTTAGGCTCCCCTCCTCCTCCCCCAGGAAAACCACAGGATCTATATTTTCCTTCAAAGCCATGTAATAGAAAGGATGTTGTAAAGGTTTTCCTCTTCAGGATCAAGTTTCTGGTTTGGCTTCTCAGCCCCCCCCCGCCCCCCACTGGCCTTTGGGGCACAGCCCCTGGGTTTCCCCTAGGCCTGCTCCCTTACCCGAGGGCCCTGCTCCGGGCCTCCCCGCCTCTCTGCCAGTGGAGACGGCCTCTTCCTGCTCAGAGGCTCTCCCTTCTCTCCCCTGCCTGGAGTTTTCCCTCTCCAGGGACATTCCTTCTCTCACCTAGGCAGCTCCCGCGTCCACGGCTGTGTGACCGCTGACGGAAAGGGTGGGGACTGATGTATTCACACCCAACCTTTGCCTGCCCGTACCTACGACTTCCTTCCTTGTATGAGGATTCCTAATGTCAAATTCAATTTATTTCTCTTCTCGTATGTCACTTCAGTGTTCACATCTTGCTCTTAGCGGGGAGCTCTTCCATTTCCAAGAGCAAAAGGCAAATACTCCTTGTCCAGTGTGACACACGGACATGGCGGGGGTGGGGGTGGGGGGACACATGCTCTTCTTCATTAACACAGTTCACGCTGGGCAGTCTCTCTGCCTTCTCTCCCCCCCACCCCCACACACTTTGACAACGGCTAGCTTGGAGGTTAGAATCAGTTGTCAGGTGCCTTTTATTACTTAGTAGAATCAAAATTTGCTTTCTCTTTGGACTTTAAAGAAAGCAGCCGAGAAGCAAAGGGCAAATCCTTTGCGACCGTCAGCTGGTTTACACAGGGGAAAAGCAAATACCATTAGGAGGGTATGTCAGCCACCACGGGCGTCCGCCTGCTCCCGGAGTCCTGTGTTGGGGGTTGGCTCTGCCCTGTGCTTTATGTTGAAGTTAAACAGTCCTGTGTTTGAAGACGGACATGTGAATGCTTGGTCAGTTACTAGTCAAGTCTCCTTGCTAGAAAATCCTGTTCCATCAGGCCAGAGGGGGGCGGGTGGGAGGGGGAGGAGATGGTGGTGGAGGCAGGTGTGGGGGAGGGGCATGGAACAGGAAGACCACAGAGAGTGGAGTGTTTTCTACCAGGCAGAGAAATGGAGTATTCATCAAGAAGACAAGGTATATAGAAAAAGGCTCAACCCAGCTGCCACGGGCTACCTTTGAAGAGCGATGGTCCTCAAGAGTGATGGAGGCAGGTCAAAGGGCACAGGACCCTGCTTGTGAAGGTTCTACTGGTCAGAACTGGCACTACCGGAGCATCAAAATAAAAACTACAACAAATATAAAGGGTACAAGCCCCCTGAATAAGAGGAGGACCTATGTGTCCATGCGAATATAAGCTCAGGGAAAGCTCCGCCTTACCTGTAGAAAGCCAGCTAACCCACACACAAGGAATCACAGAGCTAGAAAACACAACCATCACAACAGTAGCTGATTCAAGCGTGAGTCATCAGTGGATGCTGAGATTAGTGGGCAAGAGTTTGGGGAGAACAGGATGGTTTGTCTCTTAGTATCTCCCCGCCACGTGCTTA